CAATTTACTTATTTGCGCCGGTGATACAAACCAAAAAAGGAAAAAAGGAAAAAACAAAAAATATCCTTTTTTATTAGCACAAATAACGCATAAGAGTCGCGATGTTAGAGTTAGAGTAAGGTGTAGTGTATACTAAAATTTTGCAAGGAATTTTTTTTATTAGAACGTTAAAGGTGATTTCTTAGGCAGGATTTTGAGTTACTGGCTATTTTTTGAAAAAGCCTTCGTTTTTATGTTACACCTGATCTTGCGATCTACATAAGAAAATTTCCTTATTTGGTTTGTATCACAGGCGCAAATAAGTGTACGCCTGATACCGTAAATTGCCGCATAAACCACCCCCTTTATAAAAGACCCCCCTTTTAATAGACCCGGGTCTGTTACTTGGGTTCGGTTAAAGGTAAAATGTACAAGACCCGGGTCTATTATGTGGTTATATATAATTTTAGGTTACACGAAAATTTTTTATTTACGGATTTAAATTTTATTTCTAAAAATTTATTAAAACTTGAATGATTCTTTACATTTTTGGCTTTATCACTAATCCCAGGAATTACTATACTCTAAAGATTCTTTCTCATAAAAATCATCAATTTCGTTTTCTTTATCGTCACTATTATCAGGATCGTTATCAAATTGAATTTCATCATCCAATATTTGATTTGAAGAACCTTCGCCGTTATTAATGCCATTGTTTTCTTCATTCTCAAAGACAAAATTTGTGGTTTGTAGTTTATAAGTTGGTCATAGTCAAATATAAGATGATCTTCAGAGCTATCACGCGCATTCGAAATGCCACAGCATTTAAAGGATTTTCAGATAAGTGTAGGATCAATACTCTTCCATGCGATGTCTACCCATTCTGCAATAGTACTATAGGCAGGGCGTTGTATGCGACCAGCGGGGTTAATTTTTTTACTTCCTCAGACATCCATTCATTGTAAAGTGCACGCATCTAATAAAAAATAATTTTATTTTATTTATTACATATAATAATTCCATATACAGTAATAAAAAAAAAAAAACCAAATAAAAAAAAAATAAACCTATTTTTTTTTTTAATAGCTAATAACCTTTGATTTAAAAGGTTTATTTATTGTAACATCAAGTGGTTGCACTTTTGAAGTTAGACCGGAGAGAATAACTGCCATGTTCGTACAGTGTTTACTTAATCGTCGTTTAACCGGATCAGTTAGATGCCCCTTGAACGAATCTAATACCAAAAGAGATCGTGGGTGTGTAATTAACAAGTTACGATTGGTCCAAATATTTTCGATCCACCACAACATTTCGTCGGTGTTCATCCATCCTTCCTTATTTGCACGAACAAAAACTTCTTTTGGAAAAGTTTGACGTGGAACGTTGGCAAGCTTAAAAATGATCAAAGGTAATAGTTTCACACCATTTGCCAAACATGCGAGAACAACAGTATAATGAGCTTTCTCATAGCCACATGTGCGAATACTGATAGTTCTAGCCCCAGTTTCATCAACCGTAACTGTACTTGGCATGTCAAAGTAAATGGATGTCTCGTCCATGTTTCCAATAAGTGCTTTAGGGTAATCATATTGAATCCTGCGGTATAAAATGAAACTCAAAAATACTTGTAAAGTACTTTCCAAATTTTCAGATAGCTTCTGGGCCATCGTGGTACGACGACGATTACTGAGATGATACTGACGCATAAACCCATTCAACCATTTTTCGCTCCATTTGCATTCACTAACTGATGGATACATTGAAAGATATTATATTTTCTTGGCCAAATT